GAGAGAGAGAGAGGGGGGGGGAGGGGGGGGGAGAGAGAGAGAGGAAGAAGGCGAGAAAGGAGTAAGAGGGGGAGGAGGAGAAGGAGGAAGAGTAGGAAAAGGAAACCGCTGTGAGTGTGGCAAAGGGATGCAGAGGACTCACAGACGCTGGCGTTTTTCAAATCCTGGTGCCATTTTCAGGATATGCTCACGTCTTTGGAGCTTGTCAAGGGGTCGAATTCGCTCCACCAGCTTGTGGCAATCTAATCCACAAAGGACACATACACCGTGCTCAAGTTCAAACAGTTCCTGGAATCGAGAGCACATACCAGAAACGAAGGGTTATCCACAATGATAATCTAAATAAGAAGTCGAAGGATTATCTACCATTCTATTCAAAAGGAGGAAAGAGCTACGTGCAACGTTATGTATCACTACATTTTTCCCACCTATTCTCATAGTTTGAGAGGTTTACAATGCAATGGGCCTGCACTTAACTCGCAACACACTGCATATACACTTCAGCACACGAAACACACAAACCGACACTAGAGAACTCCGAGAATTGTTTGGAAATCAGTCTTAATACAACAAGTCACATGTACAATCCGACAGCTATGGACGTGACGCAACATCCTCTCTGAATGCTGTCCTCACCCTCTTTCACTCGACAGCTATGGAGCCTGGCGCTGTTGACTACAATTAGGTGACTTAACACTCCAGCCTCACTTTGTACTTGGTCGCAAAAGACCGCATCAGTGCTTCCGCAACAAGCTTGATTGGGATATGTTGACACTGCCTGTAGTTGGACTTTTGTATGTGATGCTTCACCTCCCAACCTTGGACTTTCCAGACCGGTACCCTAACTTGTTGGGCTTGGCCAGCCTTCAATGCATTCGGAATGTCCACCGACTTTCTCCGAACTTGGGCCGCAAACTGGACTGCACTCTACAGACTGACACTACGGCCCACTGGACGTACAGGCCTAGACTTGGCCTACCAACCTTCTGGACTGGGACCCTATGGTACACTGGACTTGGAATCTTGGGACCGGACTGCAACACGACACAGCTACACATGAAATCCTTTGAACAAGGCCGAAACATCAAAATAAGGTAGTAGTGAGTCTAGTGACACTTAAAAAACTCTTTTCGGACCGTAAATAAGCGGGTATTGGATACACAACATTGAAACGAGCAGAGTATGCCACAGTTGTTCAGCTTATTTCTATACTGAACAAGCAGAGTATGCCACAATGTTTTTCAGCTTTAGTTTTTTTTTGCTACTGTACATTGAAGCCATGGTGGCATGTTACTGAGCTTTTTCACCTACTTCCATACACCGATACATGAAAAGTAGGCACAACATTATCCGAATGGATGCATAGAAGTTCTTCTATATCAAAATCACCAAAGCGGTTTCCAACACCACAACACTGAACCAAAGCGATATGTGAGCAGCTTTCTTTCCATTGGTTTAATATACCATCCAAGTATTACAGAAAATTAGTGTCCAATTTACTGCTTTGGTGCGCCAATTGCCTTAAAAAGTGGAGAGCAGTGGTGTAAAGAGGGAGGAGAGCACAGAAGGTGACCTTGTCCCCACGCATGTAGAATTGAAATCACTCCTGTGCTTACGAGGGCGAGTTTGATGATGCCGCCCCCCTTTCCAGAGATGAGGGCGAGGGTAAGTTGACACCTTCGTAAGCACAGGAGTGAAGGAGGGCAATTTTTTGCTACCTTCTGAGTTTATAAAGTACATCATGCCTATAGATCATAAATTTTCTCTCACTGGAATCCGCTAAAAAGCCTGATCATCTATCATTTATTGTCTACAATGGTCCCATGCCCATGACCTGTAACTCATCATCTCTCCCTGGTTGTTCACAGACAAAATGCTAGCACTAGGAAACAAAATGGTCAAGTAGGCATAAATGGGCAGTGCTCTTACCTCGCGCATGGCTGCAAAGTTCGTCTTTTGCTGATATTCTTCCAAGCATGAGACGGAGCAGAACAGATCCTTCAGGCTGGTAGGAACGCTCGCCCCAGGTCCTCTATGCAGTGAAGACGCTCACACACATATGCACAGAGGCCCATGCAAAAAGATGCCCACAAACACAGTCCGTGCCCAAGGAAAGCAACAAAACGGTTGGTGAGCACCTGAATCTACCAATCCACCACATTGACGTCATCTTATGGTATCCTAGCATTCCCCTGTGAATGTGTTCGACCCTCACCCTGCCAACATTCCAATCAATTGCACTTGAGTTTCATTTCAGTGTATGACATCACTTCCCTCTCTGCCAATCTTCCTTTCTCCCGTTTTTCCTTCTCTCCTTCATTCCTCCCTTACTCCCGTCCCTCTTTCCCTTTTTTTATTCCTTCCTCCTTCCTTACTTCCCTTTGTTCATCCTGTTCTTTCTTTCTTCCTTCCTCTGACCCTCCTTTGGTTTCCTGCTAGTCCTTACTGTTCCTTCTTTTCACGCTTCTCTATCCCTCGGTTCAATTATTCTCCCTCCACTTTCTCCTCTTTCCTCATACTCTCCCTCCTTTTGTTTCTCCATTGTTTCCTTCCCCCCTTCCTCCCTCCGTCCCGTTCCATTTGTCTGCTTCTTCTTCACAGTCCCTTCCTGACTTCAACTTCCCTACACTGTCCTTCCCTCACTTTTAACTTCTCTTCACTGTCCTTCCTGCTCTCGTTATTCCTTTCTCTACTTGTCTTTCTCAACCTCCCTCTCCTCTCTCCCTCTTCTCTCTTCCCATTCATTCCTCCCTTCCCATCCGATCACATCACTAAATATTGACGGTTGATCTTACAGCACAACCACCTTGTGCTTTAAGTGTTTTGCCTTGGTTAACGTCCTCTCCTAGCCTTTCATACTTCTGCATCTCAGAGTTACATTCATCTCTCTTTAGTCCGTCCCTCCTTCCATCGCTTTCTTCTGTTTTCCTCGAGAGAGAAGGAGAGGACGAAAAAAAAAAGAACAAAGAGAAGGGAGGAAGCAGCGGGGAGAGAGAAGAGGAAGTGAGGGGGGAGAGGAGGTTGAGAAAGACAGGTTGAGAACGCAATAAGATAGACGAGAACAAAATGGAGATCTGGAAAGGACAGTGACGAGATGTTGAAGTGAAGGAAGAGGGGAGGGGAATACAAGAGTGAAGGAGAGGGGGGGGGGAACAAGAAAAAAGAGAAGGGAGGAAGCAGGGGGGAGAGAGGAGAGGAAGCGAGGGAGGAGAGGAGGTTGAGAAAGACAGGTTGAGGAGGCAATAAGATAGACAAGGACAGAATGGATACAGCTGGTTAACCGGGGGTGTTATTTCCGGCAAATTTTCCACCGAAATTGTCATACCGCGCTGATTTTTTTTTTTTTTTTTGCTTTTTTGAAGTTTTTTCCTTGTTTTTCCTTTTGTGTGATATGTATGTGCTTTAACGTACGTTATGTGTCCAGTTTTGACATGTTTGTTCGTTTTCTTTGCCCTGTTTTTCTTCTTTTTATTTTATGTTTGCATAATGGGCACATATCGTTTGTTTGCTAAATCTTGCACCTAAATTATTGGCGAAAACGGTGAATTTTTTACCTTCAGTTAACCATCTCTCCCTCCCTTGTTTCACTTCCTCTTCTTCATTCGTACTCTTTCCTCTCTTTCCCTCCTCTTAATAGTGATGACTGATTTCATAACAACCATATCTGAGTTTCAGATGTTTTGGTTCTCATAGTTTTGCGTCAATCGCTGAATACACCATGAGCTTATCGCTTTACCACGTTTGACCAAGTTCACTGGCAAGGCTAGAAAAAAGGGTGGCAAAATAGGGTCACCATGGGGAGATAACAGTAAGACACTGACCTGCAAGGTTTCATGCATAGCTTGCAAAGAGGTTCACCAGCTGCAGAAACCGCTTGAGTTGCCCTTCGTTCCATTTTGCAGGATGCCCAGACCACCTTCCTCCACTCACAATCCAGTGGGGGGGTAGCTGCCACATCATGCCTAGATGTCACTCGCTTGTTGCTCCCTCCTGCAGCAATACCCTGCCCATGGGTAGAAGAGAAAACCCGATCACTACGCCTGTCCTCTACCAGGTTTTGTGACAGCAAGATCAGCGACAGTCTCTAATGAGCAGACAAGTATAGTGGTTGTGTCCAAACATAAGAACATGTTGTGTGTTGGCAGAGTAGAAGACGAGCAGCAACAATCGACCAACTAGACCCCAAATAATGGTTGTGCTTTTGTTTCTTCGACTCTGTATCATCTTTCCATCCTCCCTGCCTTCCTCGTCCATTGCTCCTTTAATGGATTCCTCAAGTTTCAGATCAACCGCAATTGAACATTGCCGTTTGTAGTCCGAGAACCTGTGTTTTCTCAACTTCTCTGAAAAATCACATTGCCGTTTATAGTCCGAGAACCCGTGCTTTCTAAGATCGGCCTGTTTGCTGAGCGTTAGCTCGCCCATAATGTGAACACATGGCTTTCTCTGAAATCATTGAAGTTAGGGTCTATTTGCACGTCCACGTAGTAACCTGATTGGCAGTGATTGCCATGTTGTTGATCTGTTCCTCGGAAAGGACATATCTCATGATATCGGTAATTTTTGGGAAAACCGACTAACAGTCACAGGACTGAACTCAGCAACTAGAGCAACGGATCACATGGCAGCGACAAAAAAGGTAATTCTTTGATAGGCCAGTGACTCGGCGGTGAAGATTTTACAGCGAGGTCACCAGGACTCGATGCCCGATAGGCTTGGGGAATTTTGGGGAAACTGACTAACAGTCACAGGACTGAACTGAGCAAGTAGAGCAACGGATCACATGGCAGTGACGAAAAGGTAATTCTTTGAAAGGCCAGTGACTCGGTTGTGAAAAATTTTCAGCCAGGTCACCAGGACGTGATGCCCGATAGGCTTGGGGACTTACCGCCATGATGGTAACTGGCATATTTAAGATAGTTCTAGGGTAGATACATGCGGACCCAGGTAGGATTAGCAGTTTGCAGGCAACAGCAGAGTTTCCCACCAAAAGTGCCTACCTGGTAGGTCCTAGAGGACGCCGGGGCAGATACCATGACAGTCGGGTAAGTAATCTGAAGTCTGGGAGAGCCACTGGCCTACCAGCATAAGACAACGATGCAACTACTGACTCATTCTCTTGGTTCATTCAGTAGAGCGGTCAATAAGCTGCCTACATCGAGGGTGAGCAGCAGGCAGCAAGGGAGGAGTTTGGCATTGAAGGAGGAGACCTCCATAGCTGTAAAGGTGATGCAGATGAAGGAGGGTGAAGGTGGGGCTATGGCGAAGGGTTTAAGGTCCACATTGGATCTGTAGATGACGAGCGAGACTTCTTGTGAGTGAAAGGAGGAGATAGAGAGGAGAGACCACGTAAGAGACTCACCTATGGCGGTTATGAGCTCAATTCTTCACCCCCGTGCATGGGACTGCATCAAGAATGCCCTTTCAGGTCTTAGTAGAGTCGATACTTTATCGAGGAGTATGGTGCTGCTGTTCTCAAGGTGATGAGAATGCGTTCCGCCATGTTGTCATCTGTACAACACACTGAACGAATGATGATCTCTCGCCAGATGGGGTAGAAGTTGAGGGGAGAGAAAGATTTCAGAGCTAGAGGCCATAGAAGAGTGAATTCCCAAGAGCAGTGCGAGGGAGATCCATCGAACATTGTTTCATTGTTCCTTCATCCAAGGCACAATAGATTGGAGGAGCAGATTCAGGGTGAAGTGCAAAGTGGCAAAATGCGGGAGGAGTAAAGTTGGGTTGACTTTGTCGCAATTTTTCGTGCCCTTCTCTCTTTTCTCATTTGTTTTTAACCATCTTGTCTGTTGTGAAGCAAAGGTTTTTATCTCAAATTTTAATCCTTGTGTCACGATATGAACTTAGAACGTTGTACCTGCTCAGACGACAAGCAGCAACGTTCCTGCTCAGACGACAAGCGGCAATTGACCATCCTTTTCATGCGTATGATTGTTTCTTCTATCCTATCCTGAAAAGGAAGGGCAGTTCTTTTGCTTCTTTTTTACCCTAAATGAAACAGGATAGAGTAGCTAACCTCTGGAGGCAACTGCAGCTCTTTATATGATCGCAAGAGCTCCATCCGCAGGGGCAATCCCAATGGGCGACCACTTAGTCTTTTGCGCTCAATGGCACGCAATTCTTGCCATTCCTGCACGAACTCCATGGCTCGTTTAAGCCGTGCCTCGGATGACGTCAGTACCTTGGGCAGTCCGCCGTCGTCCATCCCAACTCGCGATCCAGATCCACCATTCGATGCCCAAATTGCCAAATCTTCTGGGCGAAAACTAGCCTCTAACGACATGTGGCCTCCAATTGAATCTGATGACAACCCATCCGCTTCTGCAGCATAGATATGAACGCGTTCTGTGTTCGTACTCACCTGTAACATAAATGAAAGATCTTAGCAGCAGATTCCATAAGTTAGCATGGGGTATTTGTAACTTTGTACTCGTCTGAACAATAAATAATCTCCGCAGCAGATTTCGTAAATTAGCATGCCGAGAAACATTACTTGACCAAGCAGATTTCTAACTGAGTTGTACACAACTAACTGTAGGACGAATACGGACTTCAACACCTTCTTCTTCTTCTTCTTCTTCTTCTTCTTCTTCTTCTTCTTCTTCTTGTCGTCATCGTCGTCATTGTCTTTTTCTTTGGACGAATATGGACTTCAACGCATGTGCGTTCATAATGGAGATGGTGTGCACAGTCTGCTATCTGCCCATCTGCTTGTCATTTTAAACGTAGTCAGATCTTGCCATTTCAATGCAAGTTGTCTGCTGTCCATTGTCAGTCCATCCGTCTGTCTGTTGGTCTGTCTTGTGTCTGCTGTCTGTGTCTTGGTTGACAGATGGTCAACAGAGGCCCAAAATTTCAGTGGCTTTTGAAATTCGAATGCCATTTATAAGAAACCCAAAGGCCTTTTTGACCCAACTTGGCACCAGTCCATAGAGTGGACACCATATGAACAAACAAGCAAAAAACAAACAAAAAAAAAAAAAAAAACAGGGTGAAACTGTGAGGCAAAAGTGCACTTGAAAGGCAATTTTTTTTCTTCTTCAAAGAGTCAAAAAATTTGGCCAACAAATCATGTTAACCATGTGTGGTTTGGTCACATTCTCTTACGTTGTTGTCTGTGGGCTATCTGTCGATCTGTTCTGTGTTTGTTCTTTGCTGGAAGTTTGGTCACTTTGTGTATGCTGTTGGGGGCAATCTGCAAATCGTAAGCAGACTGCAATTGGACGACTGCAGAAGAACGCAGACTTGCATGTCTCTGTTGACCTGCAGTATGCCTGCTCATCTTGGGACAGCAGTCTGCAAACGCAGCACACAGACTCCAGGCTCAGTGTGCCGCCCGAGGCTGCAGTATGCCTCCTGTGTTTGCAGACTGAACCCCCCCCGCCCACCCACTCCTGAGATTCATTTCGTGTAGGCCAGTTGGTACCGGCTTAGATACGGCCTTAGATTCATTTCCTGTAGGTCAGTTGGTATGGGCTTAGATTCATTTTCCGCAGGCCAGCTGGCACAAGCTTAGGTTAGTTTTCTGCCGGCCAGCTGGCATGGGCTTCGATTCTTTTGTATCTTTTTTTATAACTTCTTTTGGACCATTTCACGATTTATGCATGTAATCATTGTGCAGGGGCCATGCTAATCTTCTCTGTACTGTCCCAATTTTAACGGTTGTGCAGGAGGACCGGGCTTAGGCTCTTGGCTACCGTTTTCGCAACTTTTTCCCGATGTTCCAAACGCGGGGAGCTTGAACCATGCGCTGTTAACGTTTAAGGTCACCAGTTTGGGTCCAAGCTCGGCCGCACTCAAACTAGAACTTTATCGGATGTATTTGACTGCAATTACGGCCCTAACCTTCCTGTAGCAATCCACCAGGCATTGAACTCATTATCTTCTCATCAACAGTTAAATGTGTCTACCATTCAGCCACGAGAACCAAGGTGCACCTTTTCTTTTTCTCAAGTCACTACATCACCAGAGGTTGTGCATCCTTGACCGACAAGGACAACAACAACACAGCAGCGTGGGTGAGTAGTTAGTACACATAAGCAGAGAGAAGAAGCTATCTGATGCTTTACCGAGTTGTCAACAAGCCATGGTACAGTCTCATGCAAAGCACAGGACAGACATGCAAGGCTTCACAAGCAGGAACAGCTGGTTTGTTCAAATGCATGACCTGAAACATCAGTCTCTCGGCAAGGACATCAGCATACTCCAGAAGGTCACTTCGTGGACAACAGGGCATGCTGAAGTCTCACAGAGACCACAAGAGGGGGCATGCAAGGCTTCACAAGCGGAAGAAGCTGGTTTGTTCAGATCATTACCTCAAACATCAGTCTTTCCGCGGCGACATCAACATACTCCTCAAGGTCACGTTGTGGGACATCCACTTCATTCACGCCATCCACGCCTATCACCAGGCTCTTTCCTTGCTCAAGGCATCCAACTGAACTGTACTTCTGCCGATCGTCACCCAATGATGTAGTCTCCTTTCCATCTGCAACAGAGGCTATCTTTTCTCTGAAATCATCAGTTTGATTGGACACTTCACAGTCCCTTCCCTTTCCATGACCATGCGATCCTTCCTGTCCAAGAGTGTTGTTGTTTGGGGCCTTCACGATTTGCTTCTCCAGTAAACAATTATCTGATACTGCAGTCTCTTCATTTGGGATTTGACTTGGATCCTCACCCTCACCTACTTTGCCCGTCACATTTTCTGTCAGATCAACTACACAAATGTTGGATGTGTGCTGATGGGATGATTTGTCCACATATTTGTCCACATCCTTCTCCACGCCGTTCTCCACGCCGTTCTCGACATCATCATCCTCCGCATCCTTCTCCACATCATTAATGTTAGTATTGGCAGCCTCGTCTGCATCACAATCGACATCCAGCACTATCACAGTGTCCTTAGCAATGCCCGAAGCTGGTTCGTTCCCACTACCCGAAGTCTTCACCTCAATCACCGTCTCCACTGATCCATCAATCTGGCAGTTCACGCTGTCCGGTCCTGTTTGAGTTACACAATTCTGTTGTCGTTCTCCGACTCCCAGGGAAGCTGTTTGCTTATCCATGTCTGCACTCACCATTGCATCCGAAGAGGGCACATTTTCTATGGTCTTCCTGATCGATCCAATTTGGTCCTCCACACTATCCACCTTCAAACGCCAAAGCAACACACTGAAAATGTGAGTTAGTAAAATCAAATGGATCCTGCATTTGATACACAGCTACCTCAAATTTAAAACAGTCTCAATCCGAACAAGGAACATGAAATCCGCAGTCCTTCTGCCCAGTTTACTTCGGTCCACGTTCTGCTTTAACACCAAAGCAACACACTGAAACTGTGAGTTAGTAAATCAACTGGATCTTGCATTTGATACAACAGCTACTTCTATGTCTATATATACTCTTTAAAGTAAGAACGGGTCTCCTGTGACGCTCCCACATGAGACCCGGTCCGCCTGTGTTGGGAAAAGTTAGGGGGCTCGCGTCCAGCCCAACGAACAATCTATAACCTTCCGTATGGCGGTTTTTTTTTTTTGTTCCCCCCCCCCCCCCCTCTCCCCGGCCCCTGACTTCATTTTGGCCCTTCATGCGTGCATGTCGGAAAAGAACCTGGATAAGAAGAAGAGACACATGGTCTTTTTCCTTTGGGGGGCGGATTCACTGACATCGTTTTGCCGTTTTGTGTGTGGTTTCGTCCGCATGTTCGAATACAAGTCTAGCACACCCCTATGAATCGAACAGCAGACACGCACCAACAGACCTAGCTCTGTCGGTACACCCATGAACTGTTGAAATGTGAATCCAAGTTTGAATCCAGATGCAACCAAATCTGTTAATGGCGAGCTGTGTCAGCATACCCAAAATGAAAAAAGATGATCTCAAGGCATACTCACATTTCTAATAAGCTGTGGACGCAGTTGCAGTCAGATTCATCCAGGGTTGGCCCTGATTGCAATCAGGTGCATTTAGGGACGTGCTAGGTTTCTGTCTGTCCACAGTTGATGGGCATATTTTTCAGCCACACTGTACTGGCCAGTCCAGGTAGTGCCATCAGGTCCACATAATCTGAATCCTCCCAGTCGAAGGCTCGGACATGCAGAAACTGAAGAGGAAGGAAGTCCAGCCAGTAGAGGTGTCAGTTGCCTCTACCGGAGCTTCGACTGTTGAAAAATCAGAATCCTCCCAGTCGAAGGCTCCACTGGCAGAAACTGAAGAGGAAGGAAGTCCCCATCTAGTACATTGTCCAGAGGTGGCAAACGTATGCATCTCTCTAGATGGATCCCTCGCTGGCATGGGTGATGAGTTGGCCGCTCGTCCCCAAGCCTGGACTGAAATGCGAAAAAAGAAAGGACAGCTAATAATTGCAGATCTTGAAGTAAACCGAACAAGAGTAGGAGGTATGATAGACAACGGGTCTACACGCAGTTATATTAGTAAAAGAGGGTTACAAAAACTACGTCTTGGGCTTAAGGTTAGGAAGTTAAGTGAGCCCATTGTAAGTACGTTAGCAAATAGTAGTGAAACCGTTATGGATCGCTACGTCGAAGGGGTACAAGTATACTTTCGGCTGGAGGCAGAGGGGAAGGTGGAACGTGTTCTCCACTCTCTGACCTTCTTGGTGGAGGATAACTTGCCCTTTGATGTGTTATTAGGCATGGATTGGGGTGAGGCTGCGCATGCGGATCCAAAGTTAAGGGAACATGAATGTTGGCTTCCAAGTCCGCAAGGAGGTAAGAAGAAAATCCGCCTCTTTCATGAATCTGGTAAGGAAAGCAGCCTGGCTCATTGTTGTATGAGTGCCCCCGCGTTCGCCCGTCATGTGAAGAAGTATAATTTGTACGACCAAGTCTTTGTTGCATATGTGCACCCAATAAAGGAAGGAGAAATTAAAGAAGAAGTCAGGTCTGAAGAAATTGAGAGAATCCTGAAAGCGTTCGCAGATGTGGCAGAAGCCCCAAGCGGTGTGGTGGAAAGACCAATCCGCCACCGCATTGATATCATTCCAGGGAGCGCGCCCCCGAAGGGGCCTATTTATCGTATGTCGCCCCAGGAATTGGAGGAACTGCGAACCCAACTCGACGAGCTGTTGAAAAATGGTTGGATAAGACCTAGCTCCTCGCCCTATGGTGCGCCTGTGCTCTTTGTGCCTAAAAAGGATGGCGGTGTTCGCATGTGTATAGATTATAGGAGGTTAAATGATATAACAGTGAAAAATGTCGAACCATTACCGCGACTAGACGATTTGCTAGATCGCGTTCAGGGAAGCAAAATATTTTCAAAGATTGATCTGAAATCCGGCTATCATCAGATTGAGGTTGAGCCGGAAGACCAACATAAGACTGCCTTTAGGACAAGGTATGGACATTATGAATTCGTAATTTTGCCCTTTGGTCTAACGAATGCCCCTGCTACTTTCCAAAGAACGATGAACGAACTCTTTCGTGAATGGCTCGACAAATTTGTTGTGATTTATTTAGACGATATTTTAATTTTTAGCAAAAATGAAAAGGAGCACGCTGAGCACCTTCGACTTGTGCTAAATAAATTGAGAGAAGCAAAACTCAAGTTAAACCCAAAGAAGTGTGAATGGGCTAAGCGTCAAGTGCTATATCTAGGACATGTGATTGATGGAGATGGGGTCAAACCGGAAGATGCCAAAATAGCAGCAATCAGAGATTGGCCAAACCCCCGCACCCTGACTGAGTTGCGGTCGTTTCTTGGGTTAGCCAACTACTATCGAAAGTTCGTAAGACACTTCACGATAATAGCTGCTCCCCTTCGCCGATTGCTTAAGAAAGAAGTAATCTGGAAGTGGGATTCAGACTGCACGATGTCTTTCAAGCGTCTGAAAAAGTGTTTGATTAACTATCCGGTTCTTAAAGTGGCAGACCCTTCGTTACCTTTTGTAGTCACAACCAACGCTAGTCAATATGGTATAGGTGCTGTCCTTCAGCAAGACGATGGGCATGGATACAGACCCGTGGAGTTTATGTCTTGCCGACTGCCTAATGAGAAGGTGGCCGCTTCGACGTATGAAAGAGAGTTGTATGCACTACGTGAGGCTCTCAATCATTGGTGACACTACCTTCTGGGACGGCATTTTAAAGTGTACTCTGACCATGAAACACTTCGCTGGCTCAAAACGCAAGCTCGAATGACACCTAAGTTGACAAGGTGGGCTGCGGAAATTGATATGTTTGATTTTGAGTTGAAGCCAGTAAAGGGTAAATATAACGTTGTTGCTGATGCAGTAAGTCGTAGATCAGACTTTTTCGGTGCTATTGTGACTTATCTAGATGTAGGTGAAGACCTACAAGAAAAGATTAGAAATGCGTATCCCTCTGATCCTGTTTATGGAACCATGATTAAGCTAGTGCAAGAAAAGCCAGCAGAGTTTCCCGATCATAAAGTAACTCAGGGTCTATTGTTTGAACGAACTGACGTGCATGATAGGCTGTGTATACCGAATAATGAGGAGATCAAGAGTATGATCCTGGGGGAATGCCATAATACAGAAGGCCATTTTGGGAGGAAGAAGACCTATGGGACCTTGTTACGTTCCTACACCTGGCCTCGAATGAAAGCGGATTGTATCGCGTATGTGCAGGGTTGCCAAGTGTGCCAACGAAATAAAAGCACCACGCAATCGCCCCTCGGGCTACTTAAGCCCTTGCCTATCCCTACCGGCCCTGGAGACTCTGTCTCTATATATTTCATGGACACTAAAGTAAAAAGCAGAAATGGGAAGACGCAAGTAATGATCATAGTGGATAGATTCACTAAGTTTGCTGTTTTTGTAGCTTTGCCTGCAGAAGCAAAGACTGAATTGGTAATTCGGGAATTCTTTAACCATTGGGTAAAAGACTTTGGACATCCCTTAACTATTGTGAGTGACAGAGATACCAGGTTCACAAGTGAACAATGGCA